TTAGCGTTGCAAAATGTATTATGTTTCGCAAATTGTAAATTAATTGCTGTTTGTTCTGCCATAAGCATATGAAATTGATCTTTCAAAAGTTTTATAGCTCCTCGTATTCTTTCATCTGTTGGAGTTTTTATAAGTAACTGTTCTTTTTTCTTTATCTCTGCTTCCATTTCAAATCTTTTCTTTTGTCGGTTTAATTTATGTTTAGAATTCATATAAATGAGTACCCCTCTCATATATGCCTTACTCGCATCCCACACAATTTCAATAGGGGTACTCTTATTCAAATTCATTTCAAAAAATTCTTTCATTTGCTTTTTGAGTTCATTTACATTCTTTTCATATCTAAACAAGTTTTCATTTACTCTCCATGATCTTCTCTCAATCTTTCCCATTTCAATTTCTATCCATACCGGGCTATGGTCAGTTAAAGTCCTTGGAAAAATCTTTGGTTTTTTTGTTTTTACAAGTAAATCAGATGATAATAAAATAAAATCAATCCTAGAGAAGGATCTGTGCCTGTCTGAAAAGAAAGTAAAATTCAAATCTTTTGGATTATGTATTCTCCAAATATCTTTTAGTTCCAAATCTTCTTTCATATCAAAAAAAGTCTGTGGTAGTCTAATCCTTGACTTTGCCAAACTCTTTTTATCTATTTTGGGATCAATTACTCCATTCCAATCTCCCATAATTAAAATAGATCTGTAATCCCATTGCAATATTTTAGAATACAATGTTTTATAAAAATTTTGTTGTTGTTGATTAGGAGCATAAATTCCAATCACCAAAATTGGACCATTTTCTGTATAAAGTTCAATTGCTATAAACCTCCCACAGTCATCTGCTTCTATAATTTTAGCTGACAATCTTTTATTTATATAAATCACTACGCTGTTCTTTTTTTCCAAATTCGAAGCTATAAATTGTGTTCCTAACCTAGAGTTTATTAAGTATTTTTGATCTTGTATTCGAATGTGAGTTTCTTGTAAGCAAATAATATCATTGTTAAATTGTCTCAAATAATTAAATAATTTCTTCCTTTTCTGTGGTGAGTTTAATCCGTTCACATTCCAAGATAAAAACTTAATTGTCATTTGGACCCTCTTGAAGCGATAAGAACATTTGCTGAAGGCTTTCTCCCAAGAAGAGCCTTGGTAGTACAGGGGTTTAAGGCACCCTGTTATTAAGCTGGTTATTAAGACCAGCTGCCTGCAATTACTGCAGGGTTTGAATCTCGCCAAGGCTCAAGGTTGACTCAGCCTTCCATCCTTTCTAAGGTAGGTGAAATGAGGACCCAGTTTGTGGGGGCAATAAGCTGACTTTGTATAAAATATACAAAAGGATGAAGGCTATTGCTGAGCACATTGTAAGCCGCCCTGAGTCTTCAGAGAAGGGCGGCATATAAATAATAATAATAATAATAATAATAATAATAATAATAATAATAAATAAATAAATAATTTGATAGTCTTCGGCTTGCTCCTCCCATGGCTTCACATGCTTGTATATTACCCTTAGCTCCCTTCTTGTCTTGCTGTGGCTTGGACCTTTCCTGTTGTTGTTTTTCTTTAATTTGCCTATAAACTGCTCGAGTTATACGCTCATCTTTAGCTTCACACATCCGAGCTAGCTCCAAAGCCACTTCTCTTGTATTTTTAGGTGATTCAATTACAGTTTCCAGAGGGAGATCTAACAGAGGCTCATCCAGAAATCCCCCTGTAGCTCCCTACATTTCCATTGCCTCCCGCTCCATCTGTTTACACTGCTCTTCAGTCTCTTGTTCAAACTGCTTCTCCTTATCACTCTCCTTTATCTCCAACACTGAAGATGTATGTGGGGATGTTGAACCTGTTTTAAAAACTGTAGAATAAAATTCTTCTGCTTTCTCAACAGTATTTAATCGATATCTTTCTCCTTGAAACCTCAATATTATGCCAGTTGGAGCATCCCACCTGAATGGAATTTGCTGTTTCTTTAGTTCAGACACTAAAAATCTAAAGTCCTCTCTGTCTTTTAACATCTTAGGCAACAGCTCTTTATAAACTCCAATTTCCCTTCCATCCACTTGCACAGTGGAGACAAAGGACCTTTGCAGAATATCATTTCTTATTCTTCTATCTGTAAAATATATCACCACATCTCTAGGCAATTGTCTTTGTTTAGCCACCCAAGAATTCACTCTGTAAACTTTATCCATCTTACAAAAAATCTCTTCAGGGCTAATCTTTAACATCACAGCTAAAGCATCAGCATAGATCCTTCTCAGGTCTTCTCTGGTATTCTCTTTTATACCTCTAAGTCTTATAGCAAATTCCATAGACCTGAATTGCATCATTGTCATCTCATTTTCAATCCTTTGCATTTTATTGTCAACATTAAAGATTTTATAGTCAGCCTCCTTCATTTTAACATCTACTTCTAGTCTAAATTCCTCCACTTTTTTATCAGTTTGCAGAACTGCATCTGACAGACCAGTCACCACTGTCATTAAGTTTTGTCACCTTATCATATTTTTCTTGAACCACCTCTTTGATTTCTTTAATCTCCTGCTTAATTTCCTGTTGAGATTTTTTAAACTTCTCATCCATGTTTTCATCTTGCCTCACCAAAGCCTGAGCAATAAATTCTTTTAAATTTTCAAGATCAATCTCCTTTTTCTGGCTCTGCTGGCTAGGAGGCTGTTGTTGCGGTTTATGTGTGGGGGATCCCCCCCCGCCGCCTTCGCTTCTTGCTTGGTCTGTTTTGAGGCCATTCTGCCACGTAATCTAACTTTTTCAAAGAAGGAAGTCTTTTTTCCTTTTCTTCCTCCACAAAGTCCTCTAAAAAATTCCCCCAGGTTTTATCAAATTAAAAATAAAATTAAGTCAGAATCAGGCTTACTTTAAAAGGATTTCCCTTTCTCTTCGCTTGTTGCAAGCAATGTTACTTTGTAGCGTATTGAAATGACTATACAAATCCACTTTCGCTTTCAGCTTTCCCTAGCGCTGAAGCCGGGCGCCATTTTCAAGAGACTTTCAAACTTTCACTTAAATTTAAACACAGGGCTAGCAGAAATACTTGCTGTTATGAAGTTCAAGTCCCAATTTCACCCTGTTCGTTTAAAAAATTCTCTTTGTTTTCGCTAGTAAGGTTGGTCACGCCGTCTGGTTCTACAAAGTGTAGAATTGTCCCCGAGGTCCGGAGCTTCGGCGAGCTGGATAGGGAGCCTCGCCTGTTTCCTCCCCAGAAGCAGAAGCAATCTGGGGGCTTCACAGGGGCTCTACCTGTTCTCGCCGGCTCTCCTCACGATTCCTTTGGAATTCGGAGTTTTCCAAGCCACTTGTCCTTTCTCGAAGTGGCTCTTTACAGGCGACGGGGCTGGCGGTCTGAAAAAAGACCATCTGGCGATGACGGAAACCAAACGGGAAGTCCCTCCAGGCCGGTCTTAAAGACCGGCTCTTTCTTCACTAAGTTTTAAGAGTGCCGCTCACATCCACTCAGGGGCTGGCATTCCACCTGAATCTCTGGAGCTTCCTCTTTAGTTTGCCGTTCCTTACATGATCGGTAATGCCCTAAAAGAGCTCTTAGTGTAGATATTCTGAGCTTCAAGAACGGAGCCTCGTCCCCTCAACTGCTCCATGCTGTTGTCACCGCCTACTGGAAGTTTTTAAGAAGAAATTGGACAACCATTTGTCTAAAATAGTATAGAGTTTCTGCCTGAGCAAGAGGTTAGACTAGAAGATCTCCAAGGTACCTTTCAACTCTGTTATTCTGCTAAGCTGTTTTGGGTCTCAAAATCCAATTTAGATTTTCCCCCTTAACTTTCTTTTCTCCCCACCCGTGTCTTCCTCCTTTGTCAGATGGATTCTCCATTTTAAATACAGATAGTGACGTCTGCGTTCAGCATAAATCTACAGCATACGATTGAATCACCCAAACTAGAAGCTGTGTAAAATTCACTCAAAAGCTATTTGGCAATTCTTCAGGCCATTTTTACTTTGCCAAAAGTCAGCAAGGGGAACTACTATCAGCACTTGCCTCACTGCTGCTCCTTCAGCTCCACATCCCCTCTGTCCTGTGAAGATGAAGCCCCTGTCTTTCACTGCTGCCTTGCCAGTTCCATCCTAGTTGGGAATTCTTGGAATGGTAGTCCCATCCTACCATTGTTTTATTCATAGTGACCCAAATGGGAACTGCTGTGGTAGCCTTGTCTGAACAGTGGGAGAGAAAACAGCAATTAAAATGAAAGAAAGTGCTTCTTATTAGGAGTCTAGGTGGTTATGTATATGTATCAAAATCAAACAAACTGTGGGAGATGCAATACTCAGCTATTAAAAAGTAAGTTTTCCCCAGCTAAGTGTCAAGTTATCAGGACCAAACACTTCAGCAGTTAAAGGCTGACATTAATTTACTGGAAAGATATTTAACTATCTTGTCACCATGGGAATATCTAAGTATGCATACAAACAGTAGCTAATATGAGGCAGCATTTGAAGGCTCTGTTGGTTGCTCTTATTCATTTATTGAGCAACGGGCCTGAATACTTTTTGATTTCCTGCTGAAAAATATTCCAAAAAAGCAACATTCAGAATCAATCCAACATCTTTTTGCTTGAGGAGGACGAGATTGTTAAATACTCATCAGTAAACAGAGTGAAGCCGAAGAAAGGAAGGCTTCACTCAGGTCCGCCATCCAGGCGGGAAGAATAGTTTGAATTGATTGGTCAATTCGTCTGGCAGCCCCTATAAAAGGGTACGCTGCCAGACAGGCTTTGCTGGAGTTTCCGGGTAGCAATAAAGAGCTAAAGTCACACTTGCGCCTCTGCCTCTTCACTCTACCCACCACACAACAAAGATGATCCTCCCACTTTCCAGCAGATTGGCTGTTTCATCTTACTTCAATTTCTGAGAAGGTACAATATGTCTCATGGGGTGGGGGGGCATTTAGTTTAGAAATATATATGGGACAACTTAAGTGAAACATTCACTTAAGAGAGTTTTTGTTTTAACTTAAAAACATTGAGGGAAAGATGAAATAGAAATAGCATATTTGGATTGACTATCCATAGGCACTTCAGGGAACCCCCTGGTTTTTAAGGCTTTCATATAAATACCACATGCCTGAGAGATCTATACATATTGCTGATAAGAATTGACTCAATTTTTAAAAATTATCTTGTTGGCTATTTGTTCAATTCTGCCTACCAAAAGTAAGTTTAGTGGAATATATATTTGGAATTTACTCCTAGATAAATAATTATAGCTCTATAGCCTGAACAAATTCTGCATGAGGATTTCCGATGTGCAAAAAAAAAAAAAAAAAAAAAGACACCAATGGGCAGAAAGAAAACTACAACACCCAGGATGCAACGTGGCAGCCATGCCGGGACCGAGCATGAGCATAGATGGGTCCTGCCTGGGAACAGCGCCGGCCGAAGAGAAATGGTGATAAACAAGAGAGCGATTTAAACTCTCTCTCTCTCTCTCTCTCTCTCTCTCTCTCTCTCTCTCTCGCGTAGGCAAAGGAGCAGCTGGAAGGAGGACCACTCTCTTCCAGTGATTGCGGACCACCGCCACTGCATCGACGCCGTGTGAGGCAAAGTTATGCGTCCCCAGTAGCGGGCGGAGAGCCTATTGCTGCAACAACAGGGCGAGAACTACTGCAGTGTCCTAGGAAGCGCTGCAGGAGGTGAGCAGCTGGCTGGTCTGTAGAGGGCCAGTTCTTTTTGGGACGGGGACAGCAGCGGTGGTGAGAGAAAGAAGGGATTGCAAGACAAGCGGCACTTTTTCCGACAGCAGAGCACGCTCTGAGACTCATATTCAGATGTGCAAAGAAAGACAGCTTTTTTACTCCGCTCTTATTATTTTGATGGCATTCAAAATCAGAGGGTGAGTGAAAAGACTTGCCTTCATTGCGAGTCTTTTAATTCTTCTTGGCCTTATGTTCGTAGGGGGACTACCCTTCGGGATGAGTGGGATGGGATGAGAGAGTGCTTTCACGAAGTCTCCCAGTTAACTAATATCCTTACATGGAGATTCGGGATACTATAAATTTGGGGGAGAGGGGGTTGAAATTGATGCGTGATAATATTTTGAATTTTCTTTATAAGCACAGCTTGGGGTAGGGTTGAGTTTAATCACAATCCCCCAGCATATTCTTACCATCTTTGGAAAATGTCAGCATTCAAAGCAAAGCTTTTGAAAAGAGAAAGAAATCGCGGGATAGTTCCCTGAGGTTTCCTTGCTTCACTAAATCCAAAACATATCCACCAAGCACATTCAGAAATTAGTAACCAACTCTTTCTTGAGTGTATCACTCTATCCTTTCCCCAGGCGTTTTCAGATGTGTTGAATTGCAGCTTGTGTGCTTCCTAGTTATGGGTGGGCAATGGAAGTTGCCCAACACCTTTGGATAACATCAGATTGAAAAGAAATTATCTGCAGTCAGTGTTCAGGTTCTGTAGTGCAGTGTTTTAAATATTAGATGTGATTTAAATTTTTACTATATTTGGATCCCATTGTATATTCACATAGATTCACAGTTGAGATTACCATATTAGATATCTTCAGAAACTATTTATAATATTTATTAATTCAGTATATCTGGAAAATTGGTTCTACAAATGAACCTTAACACTGTTACACATTCGGTCATATACTGTGTTGTTGGATAAGATTTGGAAAAGATTCAAACATGAGTAGTGTGTGTATGTGTGAGATAACCAAATAAGAAATGCAGTGTAGTGAAAATGTATTAATAATTACCACATTAAAAACATGTGCTATGGTTGCACATTTTAAGCAGTGCAGAAGTATCAGAGATATTACTTAGTTACCGGTGCTGATATATTTGGCAGTATATCCTACTGAAAGTAGATTTCAAAGTTAATAGTTCTACATTGTTGACTGAGGCAAAACAAACTTAACTGCTATTCCCAGGAAGCAGAATTCCCAGTTTAGAACTCAGTTCAGTAGAAAATAGCAAGTCTTAACCAAACTGTGATTTCTTAATTTTTGATTTACTTCAGTGCAGTAATAGAAGAGGTAGGGAAAGTCCAACATTCTTGTGTCCTTTTAAGAGAAAAAAAATATGTATATTCCTCACATGTATATCTATCAGAATATGTCCTATTAACTGGTATTCATTTGATTTTGTAACATATACACTATTGAATTCCACAGCCTACTTCAGGCCAGGGCAAATAATAGAAATTATAAGGTTAAAAAATATGGAGTTTTTCCCCCCATTGTTGAGGGAAGCCACAAGTTGGATTTCTGGTTTGAAACTCTTAGGGATTTCTATTAAGATAAAACTAAGGTTTCCCCTGCCAATTATGTTTGATTCTACAGGGCAGTGCTCATCTCCAGTTCACAGCCAAAGAGCCAGCATTGTCTGAGGACACTTCTGTGGTCATATGGCCAGCATAATTATCACTGAAGGCACATGGAATGCTGTTACCTTCCCACCAAAATAGTATCTATTTGTTTACTTGCATTTTCATGCTTTCAAACTGCTAGGTTGGCAGGAATTGGGGCAAGAAACAGAAGCTCCCTCTGTCACGTGGTACTTAGATCTCGAACTGCCAGACAAGCCCAGTGTCCTCCTTTGTTTGAATTAGCAATCTAAAAAATACTAAATATTAAATTGTAAGGTAGTGGGCTAACTCCAGTGATAATTTATTCCATGAAATATGTGTGCATCTATGTCATTGTTTGATTTAGCAGTAATATTTCAGCACAGTACAGTGTCTCAAACCCTGAAAGTGTTGCCCTTATGCCTCTCATGGGCCTCTTTGTGCCTAGGCATCCTTCTTTAGATATTTAGCTCAGAAAAATCTTCCCAATACAAATGGGCTGCTTTAAAATAATATTAACATCACCTGTGCTTGCCTAAACAACATAATTGCTTTTATTGATCTCCTTTCCAACAGCAAGTCAGGAAACCAGCAACAATAAAGGGAACAAACTGCTGAAATATATTTTTAAAAATTAATAATGTCTCTCTGAAGTATTGAAATAAAAGCAAAGCTGTATTTATTATTCTATGTTGCTTGTAGCCCTTTGGGAGGGATGTACTCCATGATAGAGTGCCTGCTTTATATGCAAAAGTTGAGTCCCCAGCATCTCTGGGTATTTATTTATTCATTAGTTTTAATCTGCCTTTCTTCTCAGAGCTCCAACATATATCTGCAGCCCTTCTCCAATGTTAAATTTACAACAACTCTGCAAGGTGGATTGGCCTGAGTGACACTGAGGAGATATTCCATTGTATTAAAGGCTGAAGAAATGTATTTAAGGATGGCCCATGTTAAAAATCCTTTGGGGGTTGGGGGAAGAAATATTGTCTTATGCTTTGGTAAATGCTGAACGTATTTAGAAGCAACTGCAGTATTGCAGTTAGGATAATATGAAAGAACAAAATTCATTCTCCTGGAGCCTTTCAAACAAATGCCCTTGGTCTTCAATGCCTTTTATGCTTTAATAGGAAAGACAGATATCTCAATAAATATTGCTTATATAAGTCAAATCTATAATCGAAAATTGTTAAGTAGGAGAAAGATCTGGTAAACAAAGATGCAATCTCATATTAAGATCTAGAATTGAGTCTTCTTCAGAGTTTCCTGAAACTATTTTTCACATCATAGCTTATGCTTTCTATACTTATGTGTTGTATAGTTTCTGATAAAAGTGGTTCCATAAAAAGTTAACCACTGGGAGCCAGTGCGAGCTGCACTGGCTCCCAGTGGTCTTCCGGATGCGCTTCAAGGTGTTGGTTATCACCTTTAAAGCGCTCCATGGCATCGGGCCTAGCTATCTTTGAGACCGCCTGCTGCTACCGACGACCTCCCATCGTCCCGTGCGCTCCCACAGAGAGGGCCTCCTCAGGGTGCCATCAGCCAATCAATGTAGGCTGGTGACCCCCAGGGGGAGGGCCTTCTCTGTGGGGGCACCTACCCTCTGGAATCAGTTGCCCCCAGAGATAAGGAGAATCCAAGACCTTAGTGCCTTCCGCCATGCCCTTAAAACCCACTTTTTCCAGCAAGCCGGGCTGGCTTAAGAAGAAATTTTAAATGTTTTAATTGGTTTGCATTTTTAATTTTGGGCCAAATTTATATATATTTTAATTGTTCTTTAATATTTGTATTTCATGTTTTTTAATTCTGGCTGTACACAGCCCTGAGTCCTCAGGGAGAAGGGCGGTGTATAAAGTTAAAATAAAAATAAATAAATAAATAAAACTTTATCTTATTATACTCCGTCTATGTATTTTCTAACATAGTGTTAGAAGTTTCCATAAACTGATGTCTTCCAGACATGTATGGTCCAACTTTTCCAGAATGTTTGTTCCAATGTAGACTTGGCTGCAGCTTCTAAAAACTGTGTTCCTAGTGCTTCTAGAGCCATGGTGGCGAACCTATGGCATGCATGCCAGAGATGGCACACAGAGCCCTCTCTGTGGGCACATGCACCGTTGCCCCAGCCCAGCTCCATTGCATTTTTCTGTTGTATTTCTTGCCATTGTTTGCAGGGAAACAAAAGTTTGTGGGGCAAAAAAAATAAAAATCAATCAATTCCAACTTCTCGCAAAAAAAAAAAAATGTCGTGAAGTTGGAATTGATTGAGTGAACTTTTCCACTTGTGCACTTCACAATGGGGGAGATGGGGTCGCCTCCTCCTGAAGCCCATTATAATGTGGAGCCACAATCCGACCCTGTGTCGTCTTGGCTCGTTCTGGCCTCCTGGATGTTAGTTGCTTTTCCTGCAGAGCTGCCTATGTTGGGATGCTCCACCGGCCAGCTGAGCTTCGGTGTGCTGCTCCTGGGCTCATTGGTCTATGGATGTCAGATTCCCACCACCCAGCACCAGTTCAGGGGTTCCTTCCCTCCCCAGGGGGGGAGGAAGAGGGGGGGGAAAGGGAGGGAGGGAAAGAGAGAGGGAGGGAGGGAAAGAGGGAAAGGGGGAGAAGGGGAAAGAGAGGGTGGAAAGAGAGAGCGAGACAGAGGGGGGAAAGAGAGAAATAGAGAGACAGAGGGGGAAAGAGCGAAATAGAGGCAGAGAGGGAGGGGGAAGAGAGAGAGGGAGGGGAGAAAGATGGAGGGAAAGAGGGAAAGTGGAGGGAAGAGAGACAAAGGGAGGCAGGGAAAGAGAGAGACGGAGGGAGGGAGGGAGGGAGGAAAAGAAACAGAATCAGAGAGAGGGAGGGGTGGAAAGGGGGAAAAGAGAAAGAAGGAGGGAAAGAGAAACAGAGAAATGGAGGAGAGAAAGAGAGGGAGGGAAAGCAAAATGATATTACAAAAGTTTTTCTTTTTTATTGTTGCTAAATGTAATATTTCAAAAGCAGAAAAAATGAAAGGGCATAAAAGTGCATTTATCATGTTTTTCTTAGAACAATTAGCTGAAATGAATTAGCTTTGTTTTTCATTATTTTAGGTTGTAAAACCTCAGTATTCAGGTTAAATTGCTATGTTGGCACTTTGTGATAAATAAGTGGGTTTTGGGTTGCAGTTTGGGCACTTGGTCTCTAAAGGGGTCACCATCACTGCCTTAGAGGGTTACCAAGGCAAGTAGAGGTGCCTAAGCAAAGAACCAGTGTGGACCAGCAGCTAAAACAAGAGGGCCAGGAGAACCAGGACTCTGCCTTTTACTACCCCCTAGTTTAAAGGAAGAACATTTATCATACTTACTGATACAGGGAGATTATTCTCTCATGTCCTGTATTATACTACTTGCTGCAGATATTTCATTGTGCTGTATTTTGATGGCCCTTTCAAAAGGTTTTCACAAGTGTGCACCATATTTTTTCTCCAGTTTTTTCCTCTATTTCTGTTGTCAGGGTAATGTTTCTTCATGCCAAATACCTTAGTTTTCTCAGTTACGAAATGTTTGAG